GCGGGGGACGCAGGCGGCTTGAGGCGGCTGCTGCTGCTGCTGCTGTGGCTGCTGCTGCTGCTGCTGCTGCTGCTGCTGCGGCTGCTGCTGCTGCTAATGCTCGCGAAGCCCTGCAGCGGAGGCTGGAGTCGGAGTTTTGGCTGCTGTTGCTGCGGCTGATGCTCGCCGCTGCTGCCGTCGCTGTTGTTGCTGGAGCTGCTGCTGATTTGCTCACTGCTGCGGCTGTTCCTGCTGCTGCTGCAGCTGTTGCTGCTGCTGCTGCTGCTGGGTGGCGCCCCTGCCTAGCAGGGCCTCTGGCTGTGCGGCGAGACAGCGCAGCAAAAGCTGCTGCAGCTGCTGCAGTAGAAGTCTGCTGTGCTTCTTAATAGACTTAATGGATTTTAGCGGCGCCAGGAAACCAAAATCCGCAGCAGCAGCAGCAGCAGCAGCAGCAGCAGCAGCGGGGCTGTAGCGAGACGGCGGAGGCCTCCTTGTGTTCGGGCTTCAGCAGCAGCAAAAGCCAAATAAAATACTTATGATTATTCTTGTTTTTAATTCCATTTTTTACTTTTATCTGTCCCTAGTCTGTCTTTAGCTGCGCAAATCTACTCCACGTGGGGCCTGCTGTGTTGGTCAGCAGCAGCAGCAGCACCGAAGCAGCAGCAGCAACTGCTGCTAAAGCTGCAGTATAGATCCTGCCTTATTAAATAAAATTATGAATAAAAGAGTTGTGAAGTGCATAGGGGGACGGGTTTGCTGAAGAATAAACTTGAATTGTTCGGGTGTATGCAAACCGGGCAGACCTTCTCTGCTGCTGCGCCGATCCAGCGCAGGGGCGTTTTATTTACATATTTTGAAGGAAACATCTTCTAGAATGCTTTATTAATTGTTTTTACTTGTCTTTACTTTTTTATTAACGCTTTCGGCCATTTTTTTCGTCCAACAAATTCAAACCTTGAATTCCTCGAGGCGCGCTGCTGCAGCTGCTGATCGGCGAGGAGTGCAGCAGCAGCAGCAGCAGCAGCAACTGCCCAGCACAAGCACTTTAAGGACTTTTTTAACTGCAAATTGAAATTCAATAAATCAATTTTACTTCGTTTTGGTCTTCTTTCCTTTGCTGCTGCTGCAGCTACTGCCCGAGCTGCTCGTTTCGGCCGTCCTGCGCAGACGAGTTCGGGCCAATCCCGGGAGAAAAGACTGTCAATTTATTTCTTAAATGAATATATAAATTAATTTAAATAGTTTAAATAACATTTGTAGTATTATTAAAGTGCTTTTGGACTTGTTTCAAATCAGTATCGCACTGTGCGGCGCACCCCCAAGTGGCCGCTCAAGCTTCTTCTTCATTAAGCAAAAACAAACACGAGGCAGCAAACCGAGCAGCAGCAGCAGCAGCAGCTGCTGCTGCTGCTGCTGCTGCGTCACATTTCTCAGCAGCAGGAACAGCAGCAGGCGGACTCAGGTCCGTCTGCTGCTGTGTGTCTCTGCCTGCAAAGAAAACAGAACTGAAGAAGTGCAGCGCTGCTGCTGCTGCTGCTGCTACTTGGGGCTGCGGAGATTGGCCGTGAGCAGCAGCAGCGCTGAGGTGTACGTACAGCTGCTGCAGCTGCTTATATATAGCCTTCAACTGCTCCTCCAGTAAAGATTTGTCTTGCTGCAGCTGCTGCAACAGCTGCTGCTGTTGCTGCTGCAGCAGCAGCTGCTGCTGCTGTAGCTGCTGCAGTTGCTGCAGCGCCACCACAGCGCTGACCCAAACGCACAGCAGAGCGCGAAGTGCACACAAAAAGTGGGGCCGCTGCGTTGGGTGCAGCAGCAGCAGTTGCTGCTGCTGCTGCAGTTGCTGCAGCTGCTGCTGCAAAGTGCTGCTGCTGTCCCTGGCGATGTCCCGCAGAGGCAGCAGCACATCCTGCAGCAAGCAAAACCAAAGCAGCAGAGGCAGCAGCTGCAGCGGCTGCAGCTGCAGAAACAGCAGCTGCAGAAGCAGCAGGCGTAGAAGCAGCAGGCGTAGAATCAGCAGCAGCAGCAGCAGCAGCAGCAGCAGCAGCAGCAGCAGCAGCAGCAGCAGCAGCAGCAGCAGCAGCAATATACTTTCTTACCTGCCCATCTGTTTCTATGGGGCTGTTGCACTTGACTGAGGCATTCAAATGAGTCATTTCTTCTGCTGCTGCCTTCAAAGTTCTTCGCACCCAAAATCCTGCTGCAGGTTCTCCGCTGCTGCTCCCTTCTGCTGCTGCTGCTGCAGCACCTGCTGCTGCTGCTGCTGCTGCTGCTGCGGGAGATGCGCACGACAAGTCGTGCAGCGCTGCTGCTGCTGCGCCTCTGCAGCGAATTGCCCTCAGAGTTGCAGCAAGAGCTGCAGATGTAACGTTTTGGTTAACATTCATTTCTAAAGTCGCTTGCGCTGCTGCTGCTGCTGCTGCTGCTGCTGCTGCTGCTGCTGCATCTGCTGCTGCTTCTGCGTCGCAGTCTGCGACTCTATTGCCCCGACACCTGCCCTCAGGCTTCTGCTGCAGCGGCTGCTGCTGCTGCAGCAGCAGCAGCAGCAGCTCGCGAGCAGCCAGCTGAAGGCTGAGAGCCGGGTCTGCGTAGAGATTCGTCGGCTCCTCTTCAAACAGCTGCCAAGCAGCAGCAGCAGCAGCAGCAGCAGCAGGTGCAGCAGCACTGTTAGAATGAGCATCAGTATCTGCGTGCTGTTGACTCTGCTGCTGCTGTTGCTGCTGCTGCGGCGGCTGTTGCTGCTGCCGCTGCCCTTCCACTGCGTGCATTCCTGGGTCGTCGGGACTGAAACAACTGCTGCTGCTGCTGCTGCTGCTGCTGCTGCTGCAGCTGCCGCTGCTCCCACCTCTCCTTAGCTGCCTCCAGAGAAATCGGCAGCAAGCACTTGTTGGGAAAGTCTGCAGCAGAAGCAGCAGCAGCGTCTCAGACTGCCCTGCTGAGTGAAGAGTTTAGGGTTTAGGGTTTAGGGTTTAGGGTTTAGGGTTTAGGGTTTAGGGTTTTCACCTTTGTCAGAATCCGCAGCAGCAGCTGATAAAGAGCTCCTGCCTCCAACCCGTGGGGCTCTAAGCTGAAGGCGGGGCTTGCTGCTGCAGCAAGCAGCAGCTCTCGCTCAAACGACCCTGCTGCTGCTGCTGCTGCTTTTGCTGTTGCTGCTGGCGCCGCCGCTGCTGCTGCTGCTGCTGCACTCGGAAAGCACGAGAGGAGTCCGGCAGCAGCAGACGACGCTGCTGCTGCTGCTTCCTCCCTGACTGCAACATCTTCATCCTGCAGCAGCAAAGACACGGGATCCCTTACATTACCGCAGCACCAGCAGCAGAAGCAGCAGCAGCAGCACCAGCAGAAGCAGCAGCAACAGCAGCAGCAGAAAAGACCCTCAAGCAAAAGACTCCCCCACATAGCTCGCCAGCTAGCTGCAGGCCCAGCGCAACTAGCTATGGGAAAAAGAACAGCTAGCTGCAGCAACACTGGCAGCCAGCTACAGCTGCAGCAGCATCTTAACATAGCCATATAGGCAGCTAGCCATAGTGCATAGGCAGCTAGCCACGGCTATAGAGGCAGCTAGCTGGGTGCAGAGACTCGGCAGCTAGCTGCAGCGGCCTGGTTAGCTGCCTAGCTAGCCAGCAGAGACAGCTAGCTGCAGCTAGCTACCACTTCACTCCTGGCTAGCTGCAGCTAGCTACCACTTCTCTGCTGGCTAGCTGCTTGGCTAGCTGCGTAGCTAGCTGCGTGGTCAGTTAGCGCTGCGGAAACAACTAGCTGTGTGAGCTAGCTGCCCGTGCAGAGGTGGCTAGCTGCAGCTAGCTGCAGCTAGCGGCAGTTTGCTGCAGCTAGCTGCCTAGCTAGCTGCCTAGCTAGCTGCCTAGCTAGCTGCCTAGCTAGCTGCCCAAGTGGCTCACCTGCAGCAGCAACAAAACTGCTCGCCAAGCCCGCAGTTTATCCCACGAACAGCAATTGCTTCTGCTGCTGCTGCTGCTGCTGCTGCTGCTGCAACCTTCCAAGCAGGGAATGGGTAGGCCAGATATGCGCAAAGCCTGAGCACCAAAACGTCAGTGCAGGCAACGCTAAGCCCTAAACCCTAAACCCTAAACCCTAAACCCTAAACCCTAAACCCTGAATTTCAATATGCAGCACATTACCCCGGTTCCTGTTGCTTCTAACGTTCAAGCGGTGTTGTTGCTGCTCAGAGCAGCAGCGACCAAACTAGCAGCAGCAGCAACAGCAGCAGCACCCACAAAAATAGCAGCAGCAGCAGCAGCCACAAAAACAGCAACAGCCGCAAAAGCAGCAGCAGCAACAACAGCCAGTGCATGTGTCGCTGCAGAAGCAGCTGCCCGAGCAGCGGCCGCCACAGAAGAAGGTGCTGTGACTGCAGCTGCAGCAGCTGCAGCAGCAGCAGCAGCTGCAGCAGCAGCTGCAGCAGCAGCTGCAGCGACAGCAGCCACAAAAGCAGCAGCAGCAGCAGCAGCAGCAGCAGCAGCAGCAGCCCCTTGCTGCTCACCTCTGCCGCTTTCATCCGCAAAGCAATTTCCTGCGTTGGCTGCGAGCAGCGCAGCAGCACAGCAGCCCATCTGGCAGCCCACGAATTGTCAGCCCGTAGGAAGCAACAAGTGGGTGCTGTGGAGACATTTGCTGCTGCTGCTGCTGCTGCTGCTGCTGCTGCTGCTGCTGCTGCTGCTGCTTCTCCTGCTGCGAAAGCTGCAGTGACGCCGGTGCTGCCATTGCTAATGGTGGTAGGGCTAATGCCATTGCTGCTGCTGCTGCTGCTGCTGCTGCTGCTGCTGGGCCCGTTGGCTGTTGCTGAGGAAGCTTTGAACCCGTTCATCTCCGCTGCTGCTGCTGCATCAGCTGCTGCTGCTGTATCGGCTGCTGCTGCTGTGTCTGCTGCTGCGGCTCTGGCGGCTGCGGCGGCGGAGCAGCGCAGCAGCGCAGCACCCAGGCGCATCCGAGCAGCAGCAGCAGTGGTGCTGCTGCTGCCAGCTGAGAAGTGCAGTTGTTCTGCCGCTGCAGCAGCAGCAGCAGCCCGTGAAGCTGGAGATCCAGCAGCAGCAGCAGCAGCAGCAGCAGGAGCAGCGCAGCTAACTAAGCAGCAAAGCGCGGGCTGCGCAGCAGCAAATACTGCAAGGGAGGCCAAGGCCTGGCAAGCAGCAACCTGCAGCGGGATTAGGTAGCAAAGGCGCCACAGCTGCTGGGCACTGTCTTCGCCCGACTCAGGCCCTGCTGCTGCTGCTGCTGCTGCTGCTGCTGCTGCTGCTGCTGCTTCGAGAGCAGCCAACGGATCGACCAGCAGATGCATACACAAATCCCACAGGGCAGCGAAGCCACTCGTGAGTTGTTCAGTGCCTTGTTCAGCAGCAGCTGGCTCCTCAACTTCTCCAATTAGCTGCTGCTGCTGTTGCTGCTGCTTCTGCTGCTGCTGCTGCTGCTTCTGGCTGCTGCTGCTCGCAGCTGTTGCCTCCACCAAAGCACACAAGGCCTCTTGTATGGCTTGAGGGTGCACGCCGAGAGCCAAAGCGCCTCGCAGCGCCGTAGCCACGTTGTCCAGAGCTGCTGCTGCTGCTGCTGCTGCTGCTGATGCTGCTGCTGCTGTTGCTGCTGCTGCTGCTTGTCTGGGCCTAAGGTGCCACTCGACAAGGAGGCGGAGGGCCACCGCCTGGAGGGCTGGGCGGCCGATGGAGGGAATTAGGGGCATCCTGCTGCTGCTGCTGATGCCTGCTGCTGCTGCTGCTGCTGCTGCTGCTTCTGCTGC